AATAACAAGTCTTTTTCGTATTTACGATTCACTCTTTACTTCACCGGACAGCGTGACAAACAGAACATAAAACATGAGGCTAGAGGACAATTTTAAGGAGCAAGAATTGTATTCTTTGTGGTACACAGTGGTTAGGAAGTGTTAAATTTCGCAACGCGTCGAAGTTGGCTCGCGAAACGTGGGCGGGGTGAAAAATATAATTTTTCCCGTCGAGATACGCGATTACCAACGAGCTGAGCGAAAACTACCCCGACGGTACGACATCGGTACCGACGCGCTGGCACCCGACACGCGAGATGGTCCTTGAATGGAAAGGGAAGGAAAGCTGGAGAACGAAACGGAACGGAACGGAACGCGTCGGGTAGGCAGGTAGGCAGGCAGGCAGGCAGATATTGAGCTCTATATTTCCATAAGCTGATATTTACGCGGCAATATACGCGGCCGTGCCCGCTACTTTATGGGCCTCGTAAATATAGCGGGCCGCCGGGAATTGGCTGGCAAGGCGGCCACCCTTCTCTCTTTCTCTCTCTCTCATTCACTCTCACTCGGTCACTCTCTTTCTCTCTTTCCACATTCCCCGTGCCTGCCTTGCTTGCCTGCCCTCATCCGGCGCAGAGACATAAATCGCCGCCAATTGTAAATAATACGCGACGTATGCTGATCTCCGTTTCTACGTACCAACGCCGCTGTTTCCTCTACGTGTATATTAGGCGAGCGAAAAATTTCTGACGGATTTTGTTTATAAATCAATTAGTCCATTCCCCTGGAATATCGTTTTCTCTTTCGCTTTTAATTAATCGTGTAAATCGCTCTTAATCAATTGGCTTTTAAATAATGTAACAGTCTTAACACTGACATCTTGAGAAATCATTGTCACAAGTAGACTCCGAATTCAAAGCATGCAGTACAAAGGTACTAAGTAATGAGTAAATTTTGCAAATGACAAAATGCATTCTTTTAGGTAACACCATAAATATTCTATTTCGCATAAGTCATACGTATTGACGATCGTAGTGCTGTCTGAGACAAAAATCGGTATTGAATCGCACAGAAGCTAGTATCGCGGAATCGAATTCGACATCGCGGAATGGCATCGGGCGTGAAATTTTTCCACACAGATCTAAGACTCCACCCGGGGCTGACTTATGGCTGGAGTTACCCAGTGGAGTTGAAAGCACTTGGATTTCGCGCACTTTAACAGCATACCTCTTTTTTGCGATCTTCTATGTACTCTAAATGCGCGTCTTCTTGAAAGTGATGGATCACATCTGCAACGTTCTATTTCAATCCGATTGCTTGTGTATGTGTGTTATGTATTAATATCAGAAAATTTTAACGACGATATTATTAATGTTTCTAATAAATGAGAAATATCGATTGATTTTTAAAATACAGTAGAAATTCGTTTTATTTTTCATACGATACAGCTCGAGGCAATAATCCGCTGAAATCGCTCGCTACGGAGTCGGAGTTAGATCATCCTGTAAGATCTTACTTGTAGCCTGACTTTGGCTGGCAGCCGGTGATTATCCGACTAGTGGAAAGGGACTGATAGATGGGGGTGCTTCCCGTCGATGTGCTTCACCACACGCTACTACTTTATCATCCCCCAGCACCCGACCGTCCATCATTCCCAATCACTTCCTCGCGCGTCCACTCTCTTTCTCTCCGGCAGCGATCAAATTTCGTTCCGCCGCCACACAGTTTCGCAGTCGCATCTATTTTCAATTTTTTTGGAACCACTTCACGGCGTTACATCATTGAACCATGTGCAGACAGTCGTTCCTCATGCCAATTCGACGCGCTCATTCTAAGTAAGATAATTTGTCCTTCTTTCGTATAAACAACATAAATCTGACAAACAAATCGCTTTGTCATATAAACGTGGATTTAGCTGAAATATTGTAAACTATCTTGTGCACGAGAAATAAAGTTTGTAGCTGTTTTGCTTGAAACACTGTGTTAACGTGAGAGGCGGGAAGCTCGTTTTTTATTTATTGCTCGACTGTCTCATTTCTTATTATTCTGTGCGAAGCATCGAACATCGCGAAACGGGTTTCGTCCGCTGAGTTATGTAAGATTTACCGAGATATGTATATAAGATTAATCGTACGCAATTAAAGTTATCTCTAAACTTTTGGACAACGGTGTAAATGGATGAACGATAACCGGGCATTTTCCGGCAAGGCTGACTCGTCAGTCTTTAGTAAAAGGCAGCCATTCTTGGGCAAACCGAGCACCATTTATCTCACAGTTTCTTGTCTTCTTTCTACTCCATTTACCGTTACGTCCGGAACATTAATTTCCCCTTATAGCCGCGAAGAGTCGTGTTTATCATTAGTTCCCCGCCACTTAGTCCTGGAAAATGTACATATATAAGGCTTCCGTCTGACGGACGGTTAAACGCGCTGCGTATATCGCGTGTACGCGCGTTAAGTCCGCGCCGCGATGGTACATAATAATTTTCACTCTCCGGAAAGCAAACGATCAGAAAAAAGGAGCTCGCAGCTGCTCGCCATAACTTCTCGAAATAAGCATCCTCAAACTGTTGTAATAACTGTCGGGTCGGGCAGACGGTATAGAAAACCTGATGTAGGACCCGTGACTGTACCGATTTCCTCTTTCGTTCCTACCGAACAGTTTCCGAAACAGTCGCGAGTCACGTTCTGGAATAATTCGGATTTTTATCTCCGCTACGATTCAATTCATCACTTTTAAAACACTGGTTTCATGTGGCATGTATTTCACAAGTGACACGACTCGAGAAAATTTAACAAATTATTGACTATTTAGAAAGACAGTAATCAAATTCGGTTCTGAAAATCTGTTGTTCTTTAGTTAGAACGGCTTTTATTTCTTTTTATAAGCAACCTACATTTTTATCATTCAAGCAGAATTTATTGGTGAAAAGATTTTTTATATACTACAGTGTAAATACATATTGACGCGAAATAAATTGTTTCTTTGCACGGAACGCTGTTTGAATATCACCTCTTCGCAAATCGTTAAGTAATCGTTGGCCTGTGAGAATGATAATTTATTCGTGTGCCGTTTGCTACATACTCGTGGTTCTTAACATGTTTCCTGTCAGATTTTCACCGATTTAGGCTCGGCTGATACGTGACCTCGCGCACTGTATTAACGGTACTAAATAAATTCCACGATATAATCTACGGCAAGTTAAAGTTAATAACCCGGAGAGTTTACGACCAAGTATACGTCGTTAGCTTTAATTTTATTCGCTATAAGTAACGATGCGTGACCGTTTGATGGGTTAGAACGTTAGAGGCCCTCAGCTATATTTGGTTGACAGAGATATACGCGGATTCTACAATTTATGTCCGATCTGTATTTTGTTTAACGCTACGCCACCGTTAATTGGTAGGAAAACAGATGGAAGTAGTATCATAAACCACTGCGATTGCATTCACTGTATTATGCAATCCTTCGAGCATTTATGCCAGTTATAAAATGTCGCGGAATTTTTTATTAACAAAAATCTTTTATTACATTGGAATATCAGTCGTATAAGTGAAAATTTAATATATTTGACTCGTTACAAATGCTTTTTCTTTTAAAATGAAAGTAGGAGAGTTAAGAACCAGTGTGACTGAGCACGGAGTTTCTCTGTTGCGGACTGTGGACAATCCGAAGGAGTTCGGATAGCGCCGTAACACTTTTCGTCCGACGTGTTGGAGGATATTTTCGGTGGCTCTAACGACGTGTCACGAGATCTACGAGGCTGTTTGTCCCCTTACAACGAGGTATTCAAAACAGTTACAGAAGTAAAAAAGAATTGGTTGAATTTTTGTCTTAACATCGTTTAAACTATTTGCAGGTGAGACCACCAGAACTACGTAACGAAGGCTCAGGGCAAGATAACGTGGCCTGGTTAATTCTTTCACTCTCGAATTATTTATTGTTCAATTCTGATACAAATAGACAGAGTTAAAAATGTTTTTAAATAACAGTTGCATAAGAATTTTAGAACTGTATCTCGTTCGGTTGCCACGTGACAACGGCAGAAGCGAAATGATTAATTAGCAATATTGACGCGAAATAAATTGTTTCTTTGCACGGAACGCTGTTTGAATATCACCTCTTCGCAAATCGTTAAGTAATCGTTGGCCTGTGAGAATGATAATTTATTCGTGTGCCGTTTGCTACATACTCGTGGTTCTTAACATGTTTCCTGTCAGATTTTCACCGATTTAGGCTCGGCTGATACGTGACCTCGCGCACTGTATTAACGGTACTAAATAAATTCCACGATATAATCTACGGCAAGTTAAAGTTAATAACCCGGAGAGTTTACGACCAAGTATACGTCGTTAGCTTTAATTTTATTCGCTATAAGTAACGATGCGTGACCGTTTGATGGGTTAGAACGTTAGAGGCCCTCAGCTATATTTGGTTGACAGAGATATACGCGGATTCTACAATTTATGTCCGATCTGTATTTTGTTTAACGCTACGCCACCGTTAATTGGTAGGAAAACAGATGGAAGTAGTATCATAAACCACTGCGATTGCATTCACTGTATTATGCAATCCTTCGAGCATTTATGCCAGTTATAAAATGTCGCGGAATTTTTTATTAACAAAAATCTTTTATTACATTGGAATATCAGTCGTATAAGTGAAAATTTAATATATTTGACTCGTTACAAATGCTTTTTCTTTTAAAATGAAAGTAGGAGAGTTAAGAACCAGTGTGACTGAGCACGGAGTTTCTCTGTTGCGGACTGTGGACAATCCGAAGGAGTTCGGATAGCGCCGTAACACTTTTCGTCCGACGTGTTGGAGGATATTTTCGGTGGCTCTAACGACGTGTCACGAGATCTACGAGGCTGTTTGTCCCCTTACAACGAGGTATTCAAAACAGTTACAGAAGTAAAAAAGAATTGGTTGAATTTTTGTCTTAACATCGTTTAAACTATTTGCAGGTGAGACCACCAGAACTACGTAACGAAGGCTCAGGGCAAGATAACGTGGCCTGGTTAATTCTTTCACTCTCGAATTATTTATTGTTCAATTCTGATACAAATAGACAGAGTTAAAAATGTTTTTAAATAACAGTTGCATAAGAATTTTAGAACTGTATCTCGTTCGGTTGCCACGTGACAACGGCAGAAGCGAAATGATTAATTAGCATAGGTGATTCTTGCGAGGAAGATCGATTAAGGTTTTCAAGCTGTCGACTGGCGTTGCTAATAAGCCGGCTATTTTCATCGATGATGGAATCCACGCCAGGGAGTGGATCGCCACAGCGACGATTCTTTATATTTATAGTTGATACGTTTAACTCCTTAAGAAGTTAATATACTTCGTCACGATCGACGAAGATCAGGACGTAACTGTCAGATTATGCTGGTTCCGGATGACTGTCTTTCACTTACTACCGCATTTACAACTGTCGCTGTCGGTGAGCACAAAAATAGGCCTCACTCCGCACTCACTTCATCACTCAGGCGAACCCGCGGCGCAATGCGATGGCAGTGCACCTTCTTCTTCTTCTTGTCGTTAGACGACGGATACCTCGACGACGACTGGGTTGGCTGAAAATGTTGGCGACGTCGTGAATGCCATTAGCTCGGCCGTCGCAACGTTAACGTCGAATTAATCTCACCCTGCTAGCTACGTAGATACTTGCACTATCATTCACGAACATCCTGACTGCAGGAGGAGGAAATTTATTGGCAAATCGGGACTTGATAAAAAAAAACTTAGTAAAACATTTGCATTGTAATAACCCATGATCATTAGGATTCAGTAATATATACTCTGAACCTAGCATTAGATCAATTCAGGCAGGCATAATTTTACGTCGGCCAGCATTCGTTAAAATTGAACAGTTAAATCGTACGTATAAACGTGGCAATTATTCAATCTCTCTTGGCTGGTAGCGATGACAAATGCCAGTCGGATGCCGAATGAACGAACCGGCATGGCACGCCATGGCATGGCATGGCGTGGCGTGGCAGCGAAGATCTAGCGCTAACTATATTCACGTTGTCAAGTCATTCCGACTTGGTAAACACCGGGCGACAAGTAATGCCCAAGATTTTACGGCGACTTGACTTACGACAAAAGCGGCTGTTTATCACTGTGTCACGGCAGTGACGCGGCTCGTCCCGTTCGAGACGATAAAACGAATGAGCTATGCGGAGGAACACTCTGAGAAATGGGTGCGCGCTCCTCCATCTCTCCTCCCTTCCTCGCTCGCTCGCTCCGCCGGCGACGATCTTTTGTGCGTTGCGACACACTGATTTTAAATTAGAATTTATAGGCTGCCTGAAAACGTTCCGACGAGGCCACTGTATTCGCTCCTGGGAAATTCGTTTGTCACCAACTAATCCACCCGGTCGCCTTGTTTTTCGTCACTTGAGAAACCCGCGTTCTGAAAATTTTACTGATCTTGTCCTGTTTAACAGGCGGCAACGATCTGTTAATGACGACGCGTCAGGTCACGCTATAAATAATGCGAACGTTTTAATAAATTGAACAGGCAAGAACGTATTAAGAAATGCATTAGGTAAATGAAAAGTCTGGCAACTGGCGGAAAAGTATGAATAACTGATCAGCTTTTCTGAATGAATTATATCGTTCCATTCAGTTGAAGATGATAACTGTATGCATTATTTATTCGACAAGCTAAATAGTGGTAACGTTATTAACGAGAGGAGCGCAGACTCTTTTTGAACAGGAAATAAAATGAACTGTTCACTCAATGGTGTCGTCAATCTGCATCTTTTAATAAAATAAATCAGTCCTCGACTGACGATCGCATGCCAATTGAACATTATTTTCGTTGGCCGACGCTAACGCAATCGGCCGGCCGTTCGGTTCGCAGCAATTTGGGTCGTGAAAATTCGAATCGCGTCGCGCATTAGGGGCATCCAAATCATCCGGATCATTCGGCGACGCTGGTTTTTAAGCCGCGCGTCAATCTGTTCGGTTCAATCGAGGCGCGACGCGATGAAAAGACGAATGCTCACGCGGATAGGTGCTCTGGCTGCTGGCCAATCTCTTTCTCTCTGCGCGTTGCTACACGGTTTATTCCGGACGGCCGGGTTTGTGAAACATCGTATCGCATCGGAATCCGCTTTGATTACATTTATAGTACAGTGAGAGACAAAGGAATAGCTGCCAATTATGCACTTAAGCTTTCCTTCGTTTTCCTTGTTACACATATTTATAATGCATTTACCGAGTGATATCTACCTGATCGTTGCATATAATCCAATCTGCAGAGTGAAATCATAATAATTATCCATCTTACATTCAGTCCGACATGAAAATCATTAAAGAAGTGGAAGGAAAATCTGAATATAGAAACAACCGAAGAAATAATATATGCAACACAATACATGCACTAATAATTACGTGAAGAATGATGTGTTCCAAGACGCAGGCACGCATTATTATTTTATCTATGAATCCAACGTACCACAAACATCTCGGACGTAACAGTTAACATTTTATAGGTCACAATAAATAACCGGACGTTTGTTAACGTGGCAACGCGATCGTTACACGCTAGGATCGATGTACTGTTAGCCCCGGCGTTCATTTCTCTCCATTAATCACGTTCATGAAATCCAAGTGTGCCTATGTAATAGCCTATTAATAGCCTATAATGGCCATTACCTACGCTGACATGCCACTTATTGTCGGCGACTAAGTAATGCATTTATATGAAATTATAGTTCCAAAGTATCACTTTTGCGGCCGGTACATTGTTGGTAAAAAGTGGCCGCGATATCGTTAAATCGTTAACGGTTGCAACAGCAGGTAATATGCACCGTCATTACGTCGTGGACTTGGGAACGTATAAAAACGTTTATAGAGATTGCCAAGAATCAATTTTATTTTTCTATCAAATAATGTTTCCTGATGAGCATTCGTTATCGATTAATTTATTATGTACCTTTGCAAGTGTCTGCAGGATGCTCAGATTTATTCTCCTCGATACCTCAACGTACATTTATTAATTGTAAATCTATTAAGTGCCGGAAAAAATAGATTCAGAAACAACATACGTATGAATGATTGCTATTATATCGTGACATTAAATCTCGTGTAAACGCGATACTTGTGGTAGAGATTGTACAGAGAGCTCCGAAGACGGCGTCGTGTCATTCTGTGGGACAGGTGCATTTAGGTTGTACCTAGCACGACGAGAAGGCAAACGGAGAGGAACGAGCGAGCATCTCGCGATAACTACATATCGGTTCGCGATATTTAATTGCGACGCTTCATCAAAGTGATTGATGCCAGCTATTCGTTTCGCCCATTAATCGCTTGCATAAACGTTGCTTTAGCAATTGTGCGTTTGTTACCAAGCAATCGCAGAGATCCGTGTCACGTCACGTCATGTCACATTGTGTTGTGTCGCGCCGCGTTCTGTTGTGTCCCGACGTCTGGTATCTGTTATTTCTACCGCTGACATCGTACTTTTCTCGGCGCAGCGTTAAAGCGTGATACACGCACGGATATACCCAGCCATTAGTCTGTTAGTGTAGACCGTGTTTAATTGTTCAAGGATTGTTCACAAGTTCATTCCCTCGTGCAATTTAAATAATTACTGGAACGACTCGTTCCTTGCGCCGATTCGATGAAACAAATACTTCAAATCTTTTGAACTTCCGAAGGAAGTGCACCCTCCGTTTTCCACTTATCGCGGTGGCTACTTTGTCCGTGAAGAATAACTTCGGCCGACAAACTGCGGAGGCGACGCGACTTTCGCGCGGTGCACGCATCGAGGTCGCGATAAATTTTTTCCGTTTATAGCGGGACGCCGCAGCGGCGTCGACGGCGACGTCGACGAGGGTGGCGAAGCCAGAGGCTTCGTATCTTCTTTTAGAAAATTGCACGGCCGCTCGTAAAGATAAGTACTTAATTCCCTGTTTTGCCGGAAATTGTTTTTCTCCGCGAGCGAGCGAGGAGTCCATTTCGCTTTATGAATCGCTCGGCGAGGTTTACGCGACCCGTAAACCCGGCCGCGGAGAACGTGTTTTGGTTTCACCGGGCGACACCTGGTTTCCGTATTCAACAATCCGTGTTTCTCCATTTTTAATTACAGTACGGCCCGTGAATAAATCCTCTGTTTTTCATTGCATCAATTAAATGCTGTTTAATTAATGAAATAAAAAGTTACATTGGGTGAATTTAATTCAATCTTGATCTATCTTCAAACGCGAGATAATTATACTGGCGGAATATGGTTATAATATTGAAACACTCATTAATTATCATAATTAATGCGATAATATGTATCATTCGCACATCGACAGAAACAAAGAGAGTGAGTAACGCCAATTATTTTACAGTGAAATCTCTTTGTTTAAATGTTAGAAAGGATTTGCGTTTAATTACAAACGCGCATACTTCCTGTCAATGAATCATGAATTGACAGACAGTTAAGCAACGGCAAACATTCGTTATAATTTCGCATAGCGCTGGAAGGCGTGATTATTACCCTTTGTATTCGGCGTATCATAAAGTTTGAGTAATATAACGTTACGTGTCAAACCGCATTAAGCAATCACCGTAACAACGCGGGAACAGCTGTATTATGTTTTCGTCGATTGCGCCTGCACGGGTTTAAAAAGGAACACTTCGCATTGTACAAACGAAATAGCGTACATACAATACGTTACACGTACGTGTAAAGTGAAAGTCGACGGCAACGTTCTACTTCTTCCATTGACTAGTTATTATATCAAATCCGATTTTTAAAACATGTCATAACTCGTGTAAAAATGATCACAGCTTCTGCCGTTAATGGTCATAATTAAATATGTATTCGAAACCTGGGTAGAATCATTGATAAATGTCGATGAGAATCCCTATTTGAAATATTAAACGCCCATCGCTGGTTACAGTGGTCAGTGTCACTTATTGAATTGTAATCGAAACCGACATAATCGCATAACAGTTTCAATTAATAAATAAATTATATTTCTGGGAACAATGAAATTGAACGGATGAAAATGTATTTAAAAATTAACCGAGTATAGCGTTCGTCACGAAAGTGTGCAAAATCCTTGACCACTCTGAACAAGGGAACTCACCCCACATGTGAACTCGTGCGAACGTATACATGAAACAATAAAGGATTAAAGATCGTACGGAGCCATTGAAACCCGACGACTGTTAAACCGTTTCGACAGTTCAGATAATAATAATTAGCAGTAGCCGCGGAACAAAGACGTCTGAAGAAAAGGGGTTCGAGGCACGGAATGCTACGGTCAGACTGTTGCTAACGAGACGAGCGTATATGTATAGCGCTTAGAAATGCCTCCGCGGAATATTTCCACGGAGAAGCGGAGAGGTTATTTCCCCGGGAAAGGTTTTCGAAACGCTTCACCGTGAAACGGGCAATCAGTCAGTGACTAATGCTACAAGACCAGCACGGTTAGGCCTGGGTAGAAAGGCCTCGAGTTCTTTGACGCGGGCAACGCATAGAAATAAAGTGTCGATGGAAACGATGGCTGGCGTTGCACCGAGACATTAATAGCCTTTAGACACGGAGTATTTTATTGCCGGTAACCTTTCAGTACATGCAATCCAGCAGTTCTGCCGTGCCGGCGCAGCGTTGGCAACCGTTGCGTTACTGCTCGTTCCCCGAAGGTTCCACATTTCCTTATAGGGAAACGTCAGACGATGCATAGTTAATGAGCGGCTTCAATACCTATCCCGCGGTTTCTTAATGCACGCCGATCGGCCCGATTAATTATCGTGCCCGGCGCGAGAGGAAATAAATGTTTCACGTCGGCTGAAAATTCGTCTGAATCACTCGGTTGACTGATCTCTGCGCGTCACGCGCCGACGCCGATACTAAATCATTTTCTGATTTACGACCCTCCGCTGGCCACACGAAATTAAACGCTTATTAATCTACGCGCAGTCGCTGGAGGGAGTCTCCGCGCATCACGCTACCAATTACTTGAACGTCTGCTAATGCTATTACTTTAATATCCTCCTCGATATGTAAATAAATAATAATAAATCTTCGTACGTGCATAAGCAGAAAATGTTGCAATATAAATTGCGAGATGCGCCTTCGCAATTTCTCCATGTTATTTAAACTTCATATCCATTTAAATACATCGTCGTTGTAAATGAACAATTTCTAAATTGCGAATTCAAAAGCTATTTAAACACGATCTGACGAGATAATGGGATGATTATTGTTTTAAATTGAAACGAACGTTTCTC